TGGTTTGACTGCTGCAACTGTGATTCTTGTCTTCAAACTGATGATGAAATAGAGATAAAGAAAAAAAGAACACCAAAGAAAAAATCTTCTTCTCAATGATTGCATCAAAGATATTAGGATGGAGATCCTACAATTGATCTCTTAGGAGAAAGTTCAGGTAAGTGGGATTATTATGTGACTTATGGTACTTCTCCCCTTTCAGTTCCACAATCTTCTCCTATCATTCCCACTGGATGGGATGATAAAGATGATTCCAAAATACAAAACAACTGTTTAATGTTTGACCCTTCCAGTTCAAATTATGCGGATAGTTTTCCTCCTCTTCGTGATTTTGAAAAAATACAAGAGAATGAAAAGCATGTTTGGAAAATAAAAACCCCTCCGGCAAGAGACTCCTCTGGTACTTCTAAACTGATTTCATCTGCTGAAGCAAGCCTAAACTGGCAAGCTGAGAATGCTAAGTTTCAAAATTTGGCATTGCTACGACTAGAAACTACCGAAAATTCTATGAAAGCCCAGTTGGAAACCACCCAGAACACCTTTACGTCTCACACCCAAGGGTTGACACGCATAATTATGGAATTGAAAGAAAAAATTCAGCTGTTACATGAAGAACTTTTGCAAATATTATATTGTGTAAAGGACATGCATGAACAATCTTATTTGATTTCCGTCAAAGGGAAAGAAAAAGCATTTTTGGAAAAACAATTGCAGAGCCTTGAAAAGGACTATTGGATGAAATCCCAATATCATTCTCCATACCAAACCCAACATCAACCTTTGCCAACCTTTTCTCCTCAACCAAGTTATCCTACCTTGAGAAACCCAGACCCCTTTCCACCAACAAGAACTTTGTATCCCCCTACTAGAACTATTCACCCTAGACCTTTTGGATTGAGATCTTATAATCCTTATGAAGATGAAAGAAGATTTCCGGAAGAAATGTTCTTTCCCCAATTAAGGAAACCACAACCGCGATCAGAACCTAGTCCTTCCCAAATCAAAAAACCAAACCATACACCTCCTACAGATAAGCCTCCCAAACAAGAAACCCAGATGTTCCAACCCTCAGAAATTGATTCTGATATCGTTGCCTCATCCACTTCTCGTTCAATACAACTACCCGAACCCGAACCTCTTGGTGATATGAGCACCTTCTTAAAGAATCTTACCAAACCCTCTGAGATAAACCTTCATTCTGAAACCCAGTCTTCCTCTGACTCATTATCAGAAACTTCTACAGCTACAACATTGTCTGAAATTTCTGATACTTCTGATCCTCTGTACATGATGAACCAACCAGAAGCAGACCCTCCAGAAGAACCTATGGAACCAGACCCAGATCCCATACCTACAGAAGAATTTAGACTTCCCAATCTTCCACTACCGACCTATAGAGATTCCTCAAAAGGCTTTACTATAGATGACATCCCTCCTTCGAAATGGATAGACAGATTCAAAGAGATCCAAAGATGGATGCATGCTTAAATGTTAAATCCAGCAAATACTTTGACCAACACAATTGCGAAAGTCATTGTTCGGTTTCGTGAAAGACTATTTGACTGGTATGTCATCCTTGGAGAATATAGGCAAACTCAATTAAGAAACAGTCAATCCATTATTGAATTTTTCAGCTATCTCATTGCTGAATTCACTGGATCAGTCAGACATGAACAAATTACTGCAAGAGAAGAATTCTTCCAACTTAATTGCTGTTCTTTCAAACGGCATGATCTGGAAAAACATTTTATGGAAATGAACAAAAGATACCATAAAATTGGAGGAATCGATGATGTCAATCTCAAGCAATATTATTTAGAATCTATTCCTCCCACTTTGGGCAAAGAGGCCACCAAGACAATGGAAAACCAAGGACTCACAATTCAAACTGTTAGTTTTGGAGAAATTTACCAGTTTGTTTTACATGCTTTAGAACGGTTATGCAACCAAGTAGAATTTGTCAAGCAAATGGAAAAAAACAAATATCTTCTTGGCAAATCCTGTGACAATCCGTATTTAAAGATTAAATGTGACACTGAGAAACATTGTACATGTCCTTCTCTTGGAAGAAAAACAAAACAGAAATATGGCCATACCATGGACCACAAGAAGAAGAAAAAAAAGTTCAAAACTTATAAATTTCTTCGACGATCCAAATTCCGAAAGCATCGAACCAAAGGAGACCAATGTTATGTTTGTGGCCAACAAGGACATTTTGCAAAGAATTGTCAATAATTGACGGTCAAGGAATACCAAAAAGAGCGCGTTTTCGATATCTTGGGTCGATAATCCAAGAAAATGAAGAGATTAAGGGAGATGTTGCATATAGAATTAGAGCTGGTTGGGAGAAGTGGAGTTCTGCAACTGGAATTTTATGTGAGCGCCACATACCAATGAAGTTGAAGGGGAAGTGCTATAGGACGACTTTAAGACCAGCTTTGCTCTATGGGGCGGTATATTGGGCAGTCAAAAGACAATATACTCATAGAATGAGTGTAGCGAAGATGAGGATATTGAGATGGATGAGTGGCAAAACAAGAAGGCATAGAAATCGAAATGATCATCTTCGGGAAAATTTAGGTCTGGCACCAATAGGTGATAAGATGAGATATAGTAGACTTCGGTGGGTTGACCATGTGTGGTGCAGACTCAGTACAATACCTATTAGGATGTACGAGTTAGTTCAAGTGGAAGGCTTAAAAAGGGCATGGGGTAGGCCCAAAAAGTCATAATTAGAAGTAGTGAGAAAAGATATGGGGACTTATGGTTTCATTGAGGGTATGACCCTTAATAGAGCAAATTGGCGGACCAAGATTTGTGTAGCCGTCCCCAATTAGTTGGGAAAAGGCTTTGAGGATGATGATATTTTGACATAGAATAATTGATTCCAAAACGGAAACTATTGAGATTGATTGAAATCAATAAATAAACTTGTTCTATTTTCTCTAATTAAAAATTGATATGAATTGAATTATGTAAACTGAGGGATAATGGTTTTAACACATTCTTTTAATTATAACGGCTGATCTGAGGAATGAAAGCTAAAGATCTCTTCACTCCATGGGTCACCTTTGATCTTCTCAAAATAATGACAAACCCTAGATCCCAAAACCCTTTCTCTACATACATTAGAGCTTGGTCTCTCTCCCTCAGGCAGGTACGCCCCATTCTCTCTCTCACTCCTCCCTCTCTTGTTCAGTTTTCTCTCTCAGGGTTTTAATAATTAAATAATATCAGTAAGTCCTAGAGGGGGCCACACCCTAGCCATAGAGGGGTGGCACGCCCTAATTTGTGTGCTCTGTCTTGTGAGATCTTTTGTATCCCTTCCCATGATATGCTCTCAAGGGGTTTTTGCCTAGGCTTCCTGAGTTATGAGATAAGGTTAGGACTAAGATCCCGTGTGCCATGGGTGGAGGAGACTTGGTGTGGGGTGTTGGAAGTCTTTGGGAGTAGTCTGAGACAAGGTATTCGATAATTCTAATGGCTCCATGTTTCTTGATTCAACTTTATGCATTATATTCTGTTTGTTATTGTAAAGAATTGTAATGGCTTGCTGGAGATGATCCTAGATTGTATCGGGGTTTATTTAATGAATAAAGTTGTAATTTTGGACAGCTGTAAGTGTTTTAGCCAGTATAGATAAAAGAAACGAAAGAAATATTTTAATTGTATATACTTGGCTAGATCACATTGTCCACCTTTCAGAAACATCACATTGGCACTTATTTGGGGTTCCATACTACTACACAACCAGGTCATGATCATGTTATTCTCTCTCATCCACTCGCCATATCTACAATAAGAATTACTAAGCTAGTCCTCAGTCAAATAATTATGTTTCCCCCTTGCACCCTGGGATAGACAAATTGAGTCCATAAAGCATAATTGGACTCGTTTAGTTTTATAGAAGTAATTTGTATCCCAACAGTTGCAAGAAGACTAAGGATTCCAGGTTTACTTTTCATGAGCATAAAAGATGAAGGAGAAGAAGGACAACCAAGGCTGGCCAATTTCATTTAGTCACACCATCCTAGGACAATGTAAAAACAACTTAAACAGGGTGATGGATACTTATCATTCAGATCTGGTCAAATTCTCACACTTGAACAAATTAGAGCAACACCATATTGAACACATTTGAGCATCACCATGTTGCCACTCGCCTTTTTTTTTTCTCTCTCATCCGCTCTCCTTATTTTTATTTTTAATTTTAAGGGAAGGGCTAAAAGAAAAAAAGAGAGAAGAAAGGAAAGGGCAAGATGAAAAGATAAAGAATTTGAGAGACATAAAGGATTAGCTTTGATACCATATTAGAGAATATAGAGAGAATAGAGAAAATGAAAGAGAAGAAGAAGAGAGAAGAGTAGATAGAAATATGATAAACATGAAAGGAAAGAGAAAGATGTGAGGTTGAACCTACCCTCATGCACCTCTCAGCCTTATATTTTATTAAAATTTATGATATGGACAAAACGACCAATACAAATATGATTAGGACACTTAGGTCCAAAACTGAGATAATAAAGGAATTTAAATTATTTGATGAGAAATGTCTAATATCTGTTGTCTTCATTACTTTTGTCACCTTAGGCCTTCTACATGTTTTGTTTGGAGTTTCTTTGGTCATCATCCATCGATGAGTCATGTTATAAATTAAAATTATAATTAATACAATTACTATAAATTGCTCCAATGAACATATGTGGTGAGAGGAGACTTGTTATAAGTAAATGTTGTTATGCAAATGGAACTAGTTTGATAAGAATTTATCTATCAATTAATTCTTCAAAGAATGCATACTTTGTTTTCTCAGTTCTATCATCCCTTTGGCCTTAAAATTATCCTCACTTTGAAATATTTTCTTATTGCTGCCTATAGTATACTTTCACATTAGACTTTCTCGTATTGTGAATTTGCTTCATGCTTGCTGCTTTATTGTTGGGTAAATATATTTTTTTCTCTGTAACTGATATTACATATTTCTTTTCTTTAAATTTTAGGTGCTTGATAAATCTCGTGCTACAATGGGTGTGGCTAGATCAGGGTAGGTTAATATTGCTCAGCTCTCGTCCTGTGGATCATTTTTCACTATTTGTATACTTGAAACATTCGAAATTGAAAAAATTGCTCATGCTGTTTGAATTTCATATTCGCATGTGTTTTATGTCGAATATCTGGGTAAAAAGTTGATCATAATATATATATGAGCCTAACAGATTATGATGGCACATGTTATTTCATGATGCAATTTATTTTATAGATTTTAACAAGGATACGATGGTCTTCCATCTCTATGAGGCTTGAGTATATTTTGGCCTCTAGATGGGTGCTTGGTATCACTATTTGGAGATAGCAAGTCTTTCCAACTCAGGCTTACTAGCTATATGTAGGTGTTTGGAATCATTTCAGTGTATTATGAGCTAAGCGTGTCAGAAGTTATACTAATATTTCTCTCTTGTTCATCTCATTTCATTATTGCATATTGAAAATGTTAAGATTGAGAGAGAAAAGAGAGAAAGTAATATTCAAGCATATGACTGAGAAGAATAGATGTCTTTTTCACTCAATACACATCCTGGGGCAATGTGCACAGATCCTTATGGGAGTTACTATAAGAGTTACAACCTATTCTTTTTCACTCATTACATATCGTGTGGCAGTATGCCCTATATACATGGATCCCTACGGATGTTACAGCCCATTATGCATCATTCTTACATGATTTTTTTTGAGAGAAGATAACTTTATGATTGTTACATGATTATTGGAGCTCCTTATGCATGACTATTATACGGTTGTTACAGCCCATTATGTGTGATTGTTATATGGCTGTCACAACCTATTATGCATGACTGGTTTGTGGCTTCTAAGAGCCCCTTATGTGGTGACTGTTACATGACGTTTACAGCCCATTATGTGTGATTGTTATTTGTTACATGGCTATTAAGTGCCTATTATGTATGACTATTATATGACTGTTACAGCCCATTTTGCATGACTATTATATGGTTGTTACAACCCATTATGTGCGATTGTTGCATGGCTGTTATAGCCCATTATGCATGACTATTATATGGCTGTTATGGTCCATTATGTATGACTGTTATAGTCACTACACTATCCCTCAAGCTAGAGCATATATATCATAGATTCCCAGTTTATCCAAAGTATCCTTCAGTCGAACTTGGTTAGAAGCCTTAGTAAGTATGTTTGCCAATTGATTCTCAGATCGAACAAAACCCAGGTGGTAATGCCATGTACACTTCCCTCTTGCAGATCCTCATGAAGAAAAGCATTCTTCATGTCTAATTGGTGGAGTAGTCATTTCCTATTTGCTGCATTAGATAAGAGTACCTATACTAATTTCAATTTTGCTATGTGAGCAAAAGTCTCCTTATAGTCAACCCTGTATAACTGTGTAAAGCCCTTACTACAAGACGAGCTTTCTGACTCTCAATCGATCGATCTGGTTTGTGCTTCGCGATAGACAACTACCTCCAACGAACCACATGTTGTCCTTCAGGCTAATCAATTATATCCCAACTTTGCTGCTTCTCTAAGGCAATCATTTTCTCAATTCCATTGTGGATGAGCCAATACATCTGCAACTTTGGTGGGAATAGGAACAGAGGAGTAGAGCAAAGGTATGCATGAAAGGAAGGTGAAAGTAAAGCATAAGAAACAAACTTATTGATTTATGACATTTTCTCTCTCTTGAGCTGGAAACCCTAACGCAGGCTTTTTTTTTCTTTTTTCAAGTTACTAATTCCTTAGTTCCAAATTGAGGTTGTTGGAAATGTGAGATTGCTGAAAATATGAGCTTGTTGGAGATATGATGTTGCTCGAAATATGAGGTTGCTGAAAAGAAAGGAGTTCAGGATAAAAACTTATTTTTTTTATTTAAATATTTGGATAAGAACTTACTTATTGGTAAAGGAAAATGAGGTGATCTTGTTGAAATACGAGGTTGCTGATACTTCATAGCTTTAAGGAGATGTGTGTAGAGCATGGCATAATCTATCAATTTATTATGCCCTATACACCACAACAAAATGGTGTATTCGAGAAATGAAATAAGACCTTGGTCGAGATGGTGTGGCGCATGATGGGGCATGGAAAGCTCTCCTTAGAATTTTGGGGATAAGCAGTATTAATGACGAGTTATATCTTCGACCAAACTCCAACTAAGGCAGCCCCACTTACTCCACACAAAATATTCATTGGTCGTGCTCTGTCCCTTGACCATCTAAGAGTATGGGGATGCTCAGCCCATGTTCTCATCCCATACCAAAACAGAACCAAGCTTGATCCCAAAACCGTCAAGTGCATCTTTGTAAGAAACACTCGTTTATTCCATATTTTGGAACTTAGCTCCACGGAACAATATGCTACTGCTGAAACATGGAACAATTGAAATCTTAGATCAAACCACTATGTTTGGATGGTATGAACTGCCTAAACAAGAATTCATGGAAAGGGTTTTCGTTTCTTCAACCTAGAGAATGGGGCAGTCTTAGAAAATAAGGATGCACACTTCTTAGAGGATGAGTTTCTCGAAGCAAAATGCAGCCACAAGAAAGTGGATCTCTTTTAGATGGCTAGTGATGGGGTTGAGACCTGAGAACTCGAACCACAAACTCGTAGGAGAAGAAACCGCATTAGAAGACCACTTGAGTTCTTCACTTACCTGGGGTAACACTATGAGAGAATTGGGATGAACCTAATAATTAGCCTACATTTTATAAAGAAGCCTTTTTCAATCCTGAAGAAACCCAATGGGAAATAGCCATGAATGAAGGATACCTCTCCATCATTCAAAACCGGGTTTGAGAATTAGTGCCTTTACCACATGACCGAAAATCTATAGGATGCAAGTGGATGTTCAAGAAAAAATTGAACTCTGCGGGGAAACTTGAGAAATATAAAGCTAGACTTGTATATAAAGGGTTCACCCAAAAAGAAGGGGTAGACAACAATGATTGCTAAATTTCAATCCATTAGGATCTTGATTGCCACAGCAGCCCACTTTGACTTTGAGATCCACCAATGGATGTAAAGATAGCCTTTCTGAATGGGGAGCTTGAAGAGGAAATTTACATGAAACAACCTGAGGGCTTCATAGAAAAAGGAAAAGAGGATTTGGTTTGTAGGCTTCGAAAATCCCTTTATGGTCTTAAGTAAGTTTCGTGGTAGTGGTACATAAAATTCCACGAGACCTTGTCTAAAGTAGGTTTTACCTCTAGCCAAGAGGATTGCTGCATATATGTCAAGGCAAGTGGGACTAACGTGGTGTTTATCTCATTGGATGTGGATGATATGTTGATTGTATGTAGATGATATGTTGATTGTTAGTAGCTCGATGGCTCTGTTAAGGGAGACTAAGGGTTTTCTTTCGCAACACCTAGATATGAAAGACTTAGGAGAAGCATTATATATGTTGGGCATAAAGATAATAAGAAACAGGCAATGTAGGACCATTCAACTTTCTCAAGCATCCTATTGCAAGAGGGTCATAGAAAAATTTGAAATGGACAAAAGGCCCATATCTACCCCTATAGACAAGAAGACCAAGTTAAGCCTGCAAATGTGCCCAAGTGATAAGGATGAGGTTGAGAGAAAAGCCATGGAGAGAGTGCACTATCACAGCGTAAGGGGGTCACTCATGTACGCCATGTTAGGTACAAGGCCAGAATTGTTATTTCCCCATGAATGTGATAGCCGTTTCCAATGCAATCCTGGATTGAAATATTGGAAAGCAGTTAAGAGAGTACTCAGATTTTTGAGAGGGACCGCGAATTATGCACTCACATATGGAGGCGGGTCGGACATAGTCATACAGTGGTACTCAAATGCTGATTATCAAGGAGATCTCGATGACATGAAGTGGACATCTGTTTATAACTTCATGCTAGGTGGTTGGACAGTTTCTTGGAAGTCCAAGAAGCAGGACGTCGTAGCCCTATCCACTTTGGAATCCGAATATGTGGCATGTTGTATGGTAGCCAAGGAGACTGTTTAGATAAAGAAGTTTCTCAATCAGCTCATATTCGAGCCTGTGAGTTGTTCGCGTGTGAGAATTTTCTGCAATAATTAATTTGCAGTCCATGTGACTAAGGAGCCACGATTTCACAAGAAATCAAAGCATGCTATTACCACATCCAGAACGAGGTCCAACTTGGCAAGATAGAGGTTGCGTATCTTCTTAGAAAGCCCATGCTTGCAAACCCTTTGACTAAGGGATTGGTGGCAAATGTGTTCGCCAAACATGTACATGGGATGGGGTTGAGAGAGAGTGAAGAAGAGAGATTGTAAAGCCTTCAAAGTCCAAGTGAGAGATGTTAGGGTTATATGGCCATTTAAAGGCCTTATGAGGGCATGTATTAAAAACATTATAGTGAAATGTTGGCTACAGTGGGAGTGTGGTCCACTTTGGACTATGAGGCACTACTAGTGCCAAGACTCATTGAGCTTTGACTGGCTATGGCTCAAAAGTGATGTCTAAAACCCTTGATAACGTTGGAGTTGTGCCCAGGACAGTTTAGCCAGGGGACTCGATGAGACCCCTGTGTGTGATGGATGGTCGGAGCTTAAATCCTTACCATTATCATCACACAACGTGTACACTAGATAGCCATCCGGGAAGTGACCCTTTGGATAAGGGTGTATGACGTGTGCATGTGCAGAAGAGGTGACTCCCTACAACACTAGACTGTGTCGTAAGGACCCACAAAGCATAGTTCTGGAATAGGGCATTGACTTGTCCTTAAGGAGGGACCTGTAATCCATGGACTAAGATCGTGTCTTCTTCATTTAATTGGCTGACTTTGAAAGTCCAATCATGAACCCTTCCGAAGGGCTATGGGTCATGGGAACTATTGGTCCAATTTGAGAAAGTGCAGTGAGATTATTTTCTCTAGAAAGGATAGAGTCCTCAATATATTTGTTGTAATCCTATCTAATTCTTATAAAATCTTCTTAGATATGTTTAAATATGTTTTTATTATTTTTTAGATAATTAAAAAATATTTTTAGATCTCTATGGGTATTTTATTTTATTAAAAAATGATTTTTAAATAAAGAAAAATCATTTTTTTGTTTTTTGTAATCAAAGAGAAAATCAAATATTTGATGACATCATAAAATTTATTTTATTATCTGAAAATTATTTTTGATATATTGAGGGTCCATTGGGATTCATTAGGCCTACCAATTTGTGGGGCGTGGGGCCCACATGGCGACCCATAGGGTGGTGCACCCCACCACCACCTCCTTCCTATTTTGGTGCCTTGTTTTATAAGGCAAGTGTTTTCGGAAAGAGTTGGTGTAGAGATTTTAATTGATTTCCAAAGAGGAAAGTGTAAGAGATTTATTAAATTTGATTTACTAATTTCTTTACATAATATTTGATGGGAATAGAGTTATGAAAACTAAAGGATAATGGTTCCACCTCATTCCTTTAATCATGATGGCTGATCTAAAGAATGAATGGATGAGATCTCTTCGCCCCACAGGTCTCCATGATCAAATGTCAAGGTTAAGTTTCATAATGATGGCAAAACCCGAACCTTAGAAACCCTATCCTTTATTTTATATAAGTTAGCTATGGGGGCTCATTCTTGATACTTCATATCTCAATCTCTCTCTGTCTAATCCTAAGGGGTGGCACACTCCTCTCTGATCTCTCTCTATTTCTCTCTCTAAAGTTAGGGTTTAGAAAAAAAAAGAAACCCTAAGGGGTGATACGCCCAAGCCATAAAGCCTAGCCCATCGGTACTAGCCTTATGCTCATGTCTTGAGCCTTGGTCTAGTTTATCCCATGTCATGGTCTCTGTTGGTTTTGCCTAGGCTTCTCAAGTTGCGAGACTAGTTCTTGAACTTAGATCCTGCACGCCATTGGTGGAGGAGACCTGGTGTGGGGTGTACGAAGTCCTTCGGGGTAACCTGAGGCAAGGTATTCGGTATTTTCCTATTTCATTGCGTCTGTTATATAGTTTTCAGATTCATGTTATGAATGTAATTTTGTTTTGATGGCAAGCAAGTGAGAATATTTGGTATTCTTTTGTTTTTATTTGACTCATATATTGTATTAGGATACTTGTAAGCTATCCGGGTGGTAAAACATAAGAAAAGATAGAAAGTTTTTAATTGGTGTTGACTTGCCCAGTCACATAGTCATTCTTTCAGTTATATGGCTGTTACAACCCTTTATGTGTGACTGTTACATGGCTGTTACAACCCATTATATGTGATTGTTACATGGCTGTTACAACCCATTATGTGTGATTGTTATATGGCTGTTATAACGCATTATGCATGACTGTTATATGGCTGTTACAGCCCATTATATGTGATTGTTGCATTGCTGTTGCAGCCAATTATGCGTGACTATTACATGGTTGTTACAACCCATTATGTATAACTGTTACAGTCACTACAAACAAAATTGACCACAAACACTTTTGTCCTTTCTACAATTTAATGCGGCAGCTTTTGTCTTTTGGTCTGGAAATTGCTTTTGTAGATTATTGGTGATCTGGTTTCTGACATGTGTGTACATTTTGCAAGTGATAGCTTTTCTCGTTAAATGTTCTTTTTTTGCAAAAAGGGGTCATAAAAAGTTGCTAAAAAAAGATGAAAACAAATAAAACTGAAACTAAACATTTGTCAATGCGAGTTGCCACAAAAACTCTTATGTTTTTTCGCGAATTAGTTTCAGCATAATTTTGCAGTACTGAATCATTTGGTATGGGCCAATTTTAGCGTGTTGTGACCTTGAAGTATTGTACTTATGCCAAATGATGCTAATGTGGGCCAATTCTATGGTATGAACCAGCTTTAAAGACTTGTGGAAAAGAATGAAGCTGGTATCTTCAATAACTTGTGAGGAAGATGACCAGTTAAGGAAGGGTAGGAGCAGTGCTCTCTGTTTTTGGCCTGAACTGGAATATGACGAAAGCAATAAATCTATATTTTATAGAAATAGATATGTGAACATTATAAATTTAATTTTTATAACTTTTTTTGGTTTTATTTTTAATTTTAATTTTTCCTTTTTGAATCTAGTATCTTTTATCTTTTCATGACAGTTGGGACCTGTGGCCACCCTTCCTCTAAATGGCATTTTCACCGCCTACAATCCCCTTGTTTATATTCCTTGAGGATCAGGGTTTGCCTCTCACCCGGATCCCCATATTTATTGTGGGGATGATGGGTGGGTTTGAAGGTGATAGATTGACTTCAGGGAGGAAGTTGCAAACAAATCATTTGTTGGATACAAGCATTTGAATTTGTCAAGACATTTTATCCTATAGAGTAGCACTTTGGCTACGTAACATGTGATTTCCTGCGGATCTGCAGTTGACTTTTGTTCAAAATATGTTGCCTCCACACACCTATTCTAGTTATGAATTGAGAGTTGGACTCATCTGTTGGTGAGATCGTGGTTTTGGCTGGTGGCTAAGAGGGGATTTATTCTTGCATGAGGGTGCATCTGCTATTGGAGTGACGGTGTTGTCTTCTGAAAGCCTGGCCTTCTCACATGGGACAAACACACACAATGCTGAGCTCATAACAATTGTTGGAAATTCTTGATCCAAATGCCCAAAAGGGCTCTCCGTGTCACGAACAAAATATTGCCCTAGCTAAAAAACAATCATGAGATCTCGCCGACCTTGACTAAGGACAACCCTCAGACCCTTCGGGCATGTGTATAACATTGGGCTCATGATCTGGATTTTTGTGACTCTATAGACACTCATTTTTTATCTCAGTCTGCAAACATCCGATGAGTCATAATGTTCATGTCCACTTCCATTGTGAACAAGAACTATAAAAACTACAGTGAACAACGGTGAGAAGGCCTTGAAAGGCCACATATCAAACACCTAGCAATGGGTATTTTCCTTTGGTGAGCATCTATTGTGGTTGATTTGGGTTCTCTGGAGTGAAAGAAACACAAGAATTTTCAAGATGGGGATACCACAACAAAGGCCCTACTGGAGTGTGTCAAGCCCTTGACATTGTCATGGGTGTGAAGCCACAAAGCCTTCAAAAACTTATGCACAGCTGACTTCCTTAACAGCTGCCAGGGCCCAGTGGAAGTTAGGTCTTTACAGATCCCCCATACCTCCCTATGGAGACCCCTGATCCTGGTGAGGTTAAACTCAACTTTGACGGTTGCTCCCTCGGTGACCCCAGACCTACAGGTTTCGGTGGTCTCTTTAGGGACCACAATCATAACAACCTCCTTTTCTTTTTAGGCTACATTGGCTGCACTGATTCCACCATGGCCAAAGCATAAACCCTTCTTGAGGGTGTCAATAGATCACATGTGGGGAAGTTGTTTGATAATCGAAGCGGACTATAAAAATGTCATAATATGGGCCTCAGGTGTCTCAGGTTTTCTGTGGTGACTTGAACTTATTTTTGAGAAAATTTCCTATCCATGCAGGCGTACTCGTACCAACTTTCAGCATACTTGGCAGGAGGCCAACTCTACCGTGGTCCCGATTTTTTAAGTTTTTGTGTTGCTTGTGACGATGTACAGTATGCCTTCATTTGCACCCATTTTTGTAAAGGTCATTACGATGAGAGCACTGATGTGGCAGATTGCCACAATACTTTGTAATCATTTACTCATTGTTCAAAAAGGCAGAGGCGGCTGCCTATGCGCGGGGGCCCAAAGACCTGTGCTGCCCTAGGGCTTTTTTTTCTGTTTCTTTTTTTTTTTTTGGGGGGGAGCAGCATTCTCTCCTTTTTATGGTTTTGATTTTATAAATTAATATTAATGCCAAGCAATGTGCAATTGTAAAAGAAAAGTAATATAATATCATGGCTATGTGCATGTGTTATTGTGCCCACTTGTGCCTTTTTAAGAACCGTACCCTCTCTCTCTCTCTCTTCTAAAAGTTAAAGAAAGGTATTGTATGAAATAAAAGAAAATGATACTTTACTTTTTTAAGAACTGTGCTAGGTACTTTACATTGCATTTACTTAAAGTAATAGAAAAGCAAAGAGTTATGGTCTTGAATGTTCCTAGCATGTACACCAGGAGATGCTCTTCTTTTATTTCATTCTGTCTTCTGCAGAGTATGGGGCACGACATTTTGTGTGTTTTATTTGTAATCATTTCCTATTGACTTGGAAAAATTACTTCTTTGTCTTAGGACATTCCACTGAGGTTAGCTGTATAGGTTGTCTAGTTGTGTTTAAATCAAAATATTGGAGATTCTGACCCATTTGGTGTATAACATGAAAAATTGTTGTTAGTTTATTCTGCCATTTGCTGTGTTCATAATTGATCCTCCCTTGTTGATTCCAATTATTATTGTTTTACTTGTCTGAGATGAATTTCCTGACAGCTCTGGTGTTGTTGCTAAAACACAAGCCTGTCAAAGAAAAGCTGACAAACTTGCGAAGAAGTTGAAATTTTATACTAGTGAGTTCTATTTCTTGCCTATCACCTAAATCTTTCATGGAATATGCATTTGTCTAGTTCTCCATGTTCCATTTGTTTTGCTATAGGCTCGTACGAATTTAACATTTCCCGTTTTCTTTGTTCTGTTTGATTTATATAGGCTAATAGGAATTTTCATACTATATATATGATGGACATAAGCTTAGGAATTAGTCAAATTATATGTGCTGGACTAGTCTCATAATATGATAATGCAGCCATATATTTACGATTCTTTTCTTATGCACCATGCAAATAAAATTTCCAAAGCTATCATAGAGGGCGTGTTTTTTGCAGGAAGATAGATGTTCGCTGGAAACAATTTCTTCTTTGCTGGGAAATGGAATTTCTGGAATGTTAAGGAAGTTCTAGGTGCATGTGTTTGATAATGTGCTGGAATGTTATGTATATTTTATTAGGGAAAAGTTTATATAGATCTGAGGCTCTAAACAATCAAATTTGAGCCTACCTCAAAAATTTCACTAGAAGAGGTTGTTTTGATTCTCAGATATCTTCAAATTGATCATCTCGACATTAGGATGCATAGACATGAAAAAAAAAATGGATTTTAAGTTTGGAAGTAGTTTATTTTGTAATGTATATTTGGACCGTCAATTTTCAAGATTTTCAAGTTTTCATAGATCTATCGATCTACTCTATTTTTGAAGCTTTAAACTTTATTAATAAATATAAAATATATTTTAAGGCTATTACTAAGATTTCCAATATTGAAACCATATTTCTCGACACTATTTGAAGGTAGGCTCTAATTTGATTGTTAGAGCCTAGGCTCTATACAAACCGCACCCATTTTATTAATGTATATTTATATTATATAATATATAACATAATATTAATTATAATATATATATGTTAGGGTTTTACACTATGACTCAACAATTTTGGACACTTCTATACCTTTGTTTTGTACATGGAGCATTTTTTTAATAAGGTAACTTTTGGTCATTAGGAGGGTCTGACGTCATCAACATGGGGTGTGACATCACCCACATGGAGCACGCTAGTTGCATTTAATTGGAGTATTCGGTTCTTGGTTTTCACAATGTAAAGACCAGTTTTTAGGAAGATTATTTGAGACCAACTTATAGATTTGGGTATGACTATATTGGACTTTTCCATGTTGGTCTGAAAAAATATTGTTTGCCCTGAAGTATCCATCTGAAGAGCATTAGGGCATAAGGTATTCATAACCTTATAACAAATTCTATACACTAATGCAATGTTTTGTGATCCAGGGTTCATATCAAACCCTTGGGTTTTTATGTTTAGAGTAAGGACTTTTAGAAGATTAGGGTCTGCTAGGGAAACAGAAAAATTAGGGAAACAGTTGAAGTATATGGGTCTATTACAAAGACTGGATTCAATTATTCTTGAAAGGGAATTTGAAAATTTATTATGGCGGCTATCTCTTAAGCATAGAAGAACGGAATTGTTTAAAAAAATGCTCCATGTACAAAACAATAGTACAGAAGTGTCCAAAATTATTGAGTAGAATGATAAATTACTCCATAGTGTGAGCACCCTAACTTAACCCTGTATGATATTATATATATAATATAATATAATAAATATATATTTTTATATATATTTTATTAATGTATATTGATATTATATTATATATAATATAATAAATAATATACTATTTTTTATTAATGTATATTTGTTTTATATATAATATAATATAATAAATATTATAATATAATATATTATATATAATATATGAATAGTATATTACATTTTATATATATATATAAAATGTAATAAACTCTTCATATATTATATATATAATATAATAAATATTATAATATAATATATGATATAATGTATGAGATTTATATATTATATTATATAACATAATAAATATATATATATAATGTAATATACTATTCATGTATTATATATAATATAATAAATATTATAATATAGTATATGATATAATACATGATATTTATATATTATATTATATAACATAATAAATATATATAATATTACACAGATATATAATAATAATAATATAAATATAGTATATAACGTAATATAATATATAATATAATATTTATTATAATATAATATATGATATGTCTATACTATATATAATATAATAAATATATAGTATGTATAATAAATTATATAATATATCAAGATTTAACAAAATGGATCGGCGACCCGAATTGTCCACTCCAAAAGCCATGTTGGATCGGAGAATCGGCCGAATTGGCAAGTTTCATCGTAAAAAGTTTTTAAGAAATCACTGTAAATCTCTAAACATAGTGTTCTTTTAGTTTCTAAAAGAAATTAGGTGCGATACATTATATACTTTCATAACTTTGTAAAAATAGGTGAATACTGAGACGTTATGTTGTCTGGATGTCTGTATAATTATTAGTTATAATATTGCATTATAATATTGCATTAAAATAATTTACAAATATTAGAAAACACTTCCATATTATAAGATTAAAAAAAATAATTTCCCATATAAAGTGAAATTAGTATCAAATAAAAGTATCAAACATTTATTAATTTGCTTTACTCATCCAAAATTATCACAACTTAACTAACTATAATAATATATGCTGAAATTGAAATTGTTGGTTTACATTTTGTAATTATTTTTCTATACAAATAAGAACAAATCTAAAATGTCTTATAATATCATCTAATTTAAAAAATCTTATTTACAACTATAAGAAAAAACAATACATTACATAATCTAAAATGTCTTATAAACCTTTTCATTCATTGTGAATTTTCCCATAAACTCTGGTCCCAACTGCTCCTACTTTTTGGCTTCCAATGGGTTACTCCACGCACGGTTAAGGCTCTGATCTAGGCTCTGATCTCTTTCAACTTCGATGCACAGTGGCCCTTGGCTGGAAAATCCTTATGGAAGGCAACATTGGCTGCTACCATTTGGACTTTATGGCTAGAGAGGAACAACAGAATTTTCAATGGGGTTCAGCTACAACTACCAGCTCTCTTCCACAACGTTATCTCGATGACCACTTTCTAGGCGGCAAATACAAGACTTTCTCCGGTATTTCTAGAAATACCCTCCTCTCTCAATGGGAAAATGTCCTCAACTACCCTCAAAACCCTTAAGAGCTAGCAATTGGCAACCACCACCAGAGGGCAGCATCATGCTCAATTTTGATGGCTGCTATCTCGGTAATCCCGGCCCTTCAAGCGCGGGGGGTGTTTTCATAGATTGCCAATGTAATGTTCTTTTCACTTTCTTTACACTCCTTGGGACCTATGACTCCCAATACGCAGAAGCTATGGCTTTACTTTTGGGCTTGAGACACCTCAATCCTTCGTGGGGCACATTTTTTATTGTGGAAGGAGACTCCCGGAACACCATATCTTGGGCAAGAGGCTTGTCCGCTTCACCTTGGCAATTGTCACCTATTTTTTATGAAATTACCCATATCTGCAGGGGTACGAGCGTCTCATGGAGGCATATATGGAGGACGTCCAATGTTCTCACAGATCTTTTGGCGAAGGAGGGAGCTAGCTTTGAAATCGACAATCAAGCCAGGTCCAACTCCTTTTTTGTTCAGGACCTCAGCCGCACTACTTAGCCTGCATCTTATGAGCAAGTGACAACTCCATTCCTATTTTTGTAAATCTAACTGTATATCTTCTAATTTGGGCGTTCTTATAAGCCTATCTGACCATGGATGACTAAATGTATTATTTACTGAATGACACCCTGCGAGGGTGCTTTCAGTCCCACACCTCTTGTAAACGTTTTCTATCTTAGTAATACAATGTTAACAACTCTAAAAAAAAATATTAATTTTTGTAAATTTTTTATATGTAATTTCTTTTTTGTAATTATAAACTTAATTATATGTACTGTAGTTTTTGTAAATTATAAAAAAGAAAAATCAATAGAATTAATCTAAAAAATAAATATGTTGTAGACCATTTCATTTTATAGAATAAATAAATAGCCTATATTTTAAGATACCTTAATTTTTTATAAGGTTTGAAAGAAAAAGAGAAATCAAGAGAGTGCCTGCAACCAATCCCACGTCGCATATTTCATGAGGGAAAAGCTTGTATATATGCTTTAGGTTCACACTTGAAGGCATTATGTGATGGCTAGAGGAACTTTTCATCAAAAAAGCACATGTCACATAAGGCCCAAGGTACAACTCTTTCAAGAGTATGATTAGCGTGAGGTGTATTGGTGGGACCCACGGGATTATGTGTGGGCTTCCCTTGTTTTAAAAAGAAATTTCGGAAGTATCCTTAAAACCAAAATTCCAAAAATAAACTTTTCTTCATCCAAATCGATTTCTGACAGAACTGGTTTCATGACGTTAGAATCAGTAAGGACCAGTTACGTGTCTGATCTGTGACGTCAGCATAGCGATTCCCTATATAAAAACGGCCGGATCCCATTTTATTTTTGGATCTGGGACGGTTCCACCGATACCTAATCCGGATCGGATCAACGTCGTTTTGAACCTTGTTATATATTATATGTATAATATATAATAAATACATTATATAATACAAATTACATTAATAAAATAAATATAAAATATAAATATTTAATATTTATATAATGTAATATAATGGCAATATAAATTAATAATATGAACATATATATATATATATATA